TGAAGATATTTTGTACATTTCCTACCGTAAATATATCAAAACTTAATTTTTGATTAGTAATATGCATTGCTAAGAACTTCATTTGGGCAACTTTAAAGGCGATTTTCTCAAAATTTAGATTTTTTTGCACCCTCAGATTCCAGATTTTCTATTAGTTGTATCTCGGCCAAATATTGTCCTATCCTAACAAACCATAAATCAATGGAAAGCTTATTTATTCAGCTTTCAGATGATGTATAAATCTCAATTTCGAAAAATTTACCCTTATGATTGGTTTTGTGGTCCAGGGTCACATATAGGCATGTAAAAGTTAAAATCTTTTGTTCTGGGAAAACATTGTGATGGCATTTATGTCTCTTGTGTCGTATACCAGGCATGTAAAAGTTAAAATCTTTTGTTCTGGGAAAACATTGTGATGGCATTTATGTCTCTTGTGTCGTATACCAGGCATGTAAAAGTTAAAATCTTTTGTTCTGGGAAAACATTGTGATGGCATTTATGTCTCTTGTGTCGTATACCAACTTCCTGTTTCAGGAGAAAATAGATCACACAGGATAGAAAACTGCACTTTAATGGTGCTTTTCACACCACTACAAAACCCAAAACAATTGCATTGTGATTTGCATTACAAAGCTGCTGAATGATCGTGATGAACAGACACACGTCACACATGCTTGACAGCTCGACTGCTTTTGTTTTGCAGGGTGAAAAAGGATCGCCAGGGAAGATTGGAGCTCCTGGATTCATCGTAAGCAACTCTGAACACTTGAAAATCGATTCAAAATTAAAAAATTTAGATAAAATAAATAAACTTTAGATAACATTTTCCGTAGAAGAAGAATCTGACAAAATCTTCTCTTGGGTCGTCTTCATATGGAAAAACTGCTTTGTCTCAAACCACATATCATGTAGATTTCAACCGCAGACAGTTTTGAGCTCATTTAGGAGATCAGTAAGCTTCAGTTGAACTCTTTCATGTGTGTTTGTGTTTGTTTGTAGGGTAAAGCTGGAGCTCCAGGGAAGAGAGGAGCAGCAGGAGCGCCTGTAAGTCTCAGTCTAACAATTGTGATGCTACCATCTTTATTTAAAAACACTTCATATTATAATATACTTTATTTACAAAAAGTAAAATATTATGTCAGAAATACTAGTATTTTTGTTTAAATCAATACTATTACTTTCTTTTAATACTCAAAAGTATCAAACTAGTTGCATTAAAACAGTACAGTATGTTGCCAAAAATACTGTTATTTTTGTTTAAATAAATAATATTATTTTATTTTAATACTCAAAAGTATTAAAATAATCAGATTAAAACAGAATAATACATTACCAAAAAGGCTCTTATTTTTAAGTAAATACTATTATTAATACTCAAGTATTAAAATAATTGCTGTGAGTTAGTAAAATATGTTGCCAAAAATACTATTATTTTTGTTTAAATACATTTTATTTTTTTATTTTAATTTTCTAATGTATTTAAATAGTCATAGTAAAATACAGTGCTATGATTTTTGTTTAAATTAATACTATTTTTTGAGTACTCAAAAGTTTTAAAATAATCATATTAAAATAATAAAATATGTTGCCAAAAAATATAATTATTTTTGATTAAATAGTGTAATTTACTTTTAATACCCGAAAGTATTAAAATAAGTGTATTAAAATATGTTGCTAAAAATACTATTATTTTTGTTTAAATAAGTATTGTTTTCTTTTAATACACAAAAAAATATTAAAATAATGATATTGAAATAGTAAAATGTGTTGCCAAAAATATTATTTAAAGAAAAATACTGCTATTTACTTAATACAATTTTCTTTTAGTACTTAAATGTATTAAAATATAGTATGTTGCCAAATATACTATTATTTTTGTTTAAAATAAAAACCATTATTTTATTTTATATTCAGGGATTTAAACAATCTGACTTAAATAGTAAAAAATGTTGTCAAAAATAAAATAAAAAATCGTAAATAATTGCTATTATTTTGTTTTAACTATCAAAATTATTAAAATAATCGTTAAGGCACCAGAATTGTAAAGTGGAGTCTCCTTATGATTCCCATCCCTATTTATCACATATATAGCAGGATGTTGAGATATCTCCGGTCTGAGACCACTGTGTCGAGCGTCTGTGTTTTCCTGTAATAAAGCGTGTGTGTGTTTGCTGTCAGGAAGTATGAAGTGTGTGTCGAAGTGTTTAGTGTTCACACAGGCCTATTTAATGCTCTCCAGCTCACAGCGTCCTCTAGTGACTGACGGTGAACGTGTGGTTTTGCCAGCCGTGCTGTTCGGTGTTTCACAGCCTCATTAAATCGCTGCGGATTCGTTCATAACTCAGATGATTTATGATGTTTAAACCGCAGGCTTCCTGTGAACAGATAATCCCTGCTTTAATGCTGCAGATGTGTGGTGATGTGATCCAGTGACACAACGGTTTAATAATAGTGAATCAGAGCACTAGGATATGCAAATACTGTCAGAGATGACTGGTGAATGTTGACAGACTGTTAGCGGCTCATTTAATAGCAAATTATACACTAGTGTTCCAAAGTTTAGGGTCTGGAAGATTTTTTATGTTTTCGAAAAATCTCTTCTGCTCACCAAGGCTACATTTATTTGAAAAAAAAAACAAAAAAAAAACAGTAATATTGGGAAATGTTATTACAATTCAAAATAACCATACACTATGTAAATATATTGTAATTTATTCCTGTGATCAAACATGAATTATCAGCATCATTACCCCAGTCTTCAGTGTCGCATGATCCTTCAGAAATCAGTATGCTGGTGTGGTGTTATATTGGTTTAAAAAAATAATAAAATAAAATATGAGCGAAATATGTTGCCAAAATATAATTGATACTTAAATACTATTTAATACTATACTCAAAGGTATTAAAATAATAAAATAAAAATGGTAAAATATGTTGATATGTTAATATATGTAAAATATTATTTTTGTTATTATTCTTATTAAAATGGTCAAAATGTTGCCAAAATATGTTTGTTTAGTTAAAATAAACACTATTATTTTAATAATCAAAAGTATTACAATAATTTTATTGAAAATGTAAAATATGTTGCCAAAAATAGTTTTATTTAAATAAATATTATATTTTAATACTCAGTTATTAAAATGATCTTATTAAAATGGTAAAATGTGTTGCCAAAATATTATGTTTGTTTAAATAAATACTATTATTTTATTTTGATACTCAGAAATATTCAAATTGTAAAATGTGTTGCCAAAAATATTGTTTTTGTTTAAATAAATACTATTATATTTTAATATTCAAAACTTTAAAACTAGCCAATTATAAACCAGGTTCATGCCTTAAAATGAGTGGATTTATCATGATTTTTTATTTTATTTTTTTGCTTGAATATGAAGCCCGTGAAGTGAAGGTATAGTTGAGAGGGTCACGTATGGAAGCGTTTATGACTGTTATTAATGCATCTTTGTGTAAGTCATATTTACTGCTGGAAAATGAAGTGCATGACTTATGACTTTTAATGAATGGGGTGATTAAAATCCACCGTCGATGTTATTAAAGCACTACAGCACTCACAGTATCTGCAGTGTGTTGGTTTGAGCAGTCATGGAAACTGACCATCGAGTGTCTCTATTGTGGGAACAGTGAGATTTCACTGAGAAATACTCTGATAAGACAGGTGAACGTTAAAGCCAGCGGTTCCTGTTTCTCCGCGTATCGGCGTCTGATAAAGACGGAAAGAAAAACAGATAAAAATGAGAGCAGAAAGGCTGTGGGTCCCTGCTGGATTACGGCTCATGGTTACATTTCCATCATAGAAACAAACACAAACTCAGACATTTCCATTCTGTGAAGGAGCAATGTTTTACTACTACATCATAAAATGTGTTTAACAAATCACTAATAATGTATGTGCTTATTTGGACAATAGCTTGTGACTTCTGTGCACCTGTGTTAATATTTGTGTTCTTGCATTGCTCAGATTTTGCTCTTTCATAGCTAATATACAGTAGGTGTCATTTAAGTGTTAATTTTTCTACTAAAACTCCTTTGGAAAAATCAAAACACACAAATGAGTCATTCGTTTGCCTTCCAGTATAAGTTTAGAGCTGTAAAATGAATGTGGAAAGCAGCTCCGAACATGATATTATAGAGATCTCATTTGTGGTATTTCTGATCTGTGAGTCGTTTTTTAAACTGAATAATGTGTAATCTGAATTTATGATGTCTGAACATGTGTATGAATCACATATAATCAGAGTGTGTGTGTGTGTGTGCGTGTGTGTGTGTGTGTGTGTGTGTGTGTTGCAGGGTAAAGCAGGTCCTCCCGGAAGCACAGGTGAAAAAGGTCCTCCAGGTGAACCTGTGAGTATTACAACACAAAATACAACGGTTTGCGTTCTTAAATGAGCCTCCTTTACATAAAAAGGGCTGTTCTTATGAAGAAAATTAATTAAAAAGACTTATTATGCATGATACAGCTTTATAGCAGCACGTATAGTGCCAGGTTTAGTGTTATTTTAATATTATTTCTTATTTTTATACTAGTATACTATATAATATATATTATTGTGTGTGTGTGTGTGTGTGTGTGTATGTATATGTAATTTATAATAATTTAATCATTTTTATATTTTCATTTTTCATTTTTTTAGTTTTAAGTTTTAGTCATTTATTTGAATTTTATTTTACTCATGTTAATTTTTTTATTTTGTTGAGTATGTTGTCATTTTTATTTGTTTTAAACATTTCTATATAGCCTTAATTTTATTTCAGATTTAGTTTGTCATTTTAGTGCTTACACTTCTATAACACTTCTAATTTTCATTCATTTTTAAGGTTCATTTTTTCATCTAATGTTTACATATTATTCAAGCTTTATTTCAATTAACAAAAATGATTTTTAATAGTTTTAGCCTTTAGTTTAAACTATAACAACGTGATTAAGTTAACTGCATGTCGCATTGAAATAAAACACAGTGTTGGACTGCAATAAGCATGATTGAGTGTAGATTGTATGTAAATAAGCAAAAATAAAGATCTAAAACTGCATCAACTGAAGGATACTTGTTTGCACTGCACATTGTGTTCATATGGCCAGCAATGTGCTTAAACGTCAGAAATGTGCTGTGAACAGTCTCAGCAAGCATGCATGACGTGACTCGTTGATGCATCTTTCTTGTGCAACACATGTAAGTCATGATGTGAAGACCTCCGAGGGTTTGTGAGGCGTTTCGCTGCTCGTTGTGGCATTTCTGCCGTTGAGCGCGAGTGTTTTGTGTCATTACGTCTAAACGTAATCAGCCGCTCTGTCAGCAGATGAAAGATTTTAACAGATTCTCTGGAAGGGGTTTGTGTTTCCAGTCTTTGATGCCGTGTGCATCTCAATGTCCTCGTGTTGACACATGCTTATGCGCACATTTAAACATGCATCCACACTTTTATGCTGTTCACATGTGCACGGCAAAATTCAGTTCTAGCCAGGCGTAATCGAAAGATCTCTTCACATCCTGCGCCAAGGGCGATTCATGTAAATCTCATTTATAATATCAAAACAAGACTGTTTATGGGAAAGGTGTTTGAATTGTGCATGACTTCATATTTATTTCATGTTTATTTGATTGTTTAGGGCTCCAGAGGCCCTCCGGGGGACCCGGGCCCAGATGGAGAGCAAGGTCACGAGGTACTTCCTGAAAGAAACTGAATTTTTGTGTGCAATGGATTTCTTCTGTGTTCAATTATGCAATAACATGCAACTTAAAAAAGGGTTCATTCAGTACAGTGCAGAGTTATATAATACTGAATTCAATATTGATAACATAATATAGGCACACGAAGGAGTGTAAAACAACACGGTGCACTGCAGAACCATTAATAAAAGCACATTTTAATCATTTAGTAAATTAATTATGTTGCAGGTTATTTAATTTAGCATTATTTCTGTGTTTCGAGTCTGATATATGAGCCACACGTGTTATTTTGACTTCTTGTTCTCGTCTGCTTGTGTGTTTTTTTTTGTGCATGCACAGGGACCTGCAGGACCTGAAGGAGAGCAGGGGCCTGTGGGTGAACCTGGAATCAAGGTGAGGCAAAACCCTGTAAAGCCTGACATGAAACAATAGACAGAAATGGAAATTGAAATGGAACAGGTGATTGAAACTTTAAATTAAAATATTAAAAGAAATTTTGCAAATGTGACCCTGGACCACAAAACCAGGGTTTAAAACCTTTAAAAAATAAGGGTCAATTTTTCGAAATTGAGATGTATACAACATCTGAAAGCTGAATAAATAAGCTTTCATTGATGTATGGTTTGTTAGGATCGGACAATATTTGGCTGAGATACAACTATTTGAAAATCTGGAATCTGAGCGTGCAAACAAATCTAAATATTGAGAAAATCATCTTTAAAGTTGTCCAAATGAAGTTCTTAGCAATGCATATTACTAATCAAAAATTACGTTTTGATATATTTACGGTAGGACATTTACAAAATATCTTCATGGAACATGATCTTTACTTAATATCCTAATGATTTTTGGCATAAAAGAAAAATCTATAATTTTGACCCATACAATGTATTGTTAGCTATTGCTACAAATATACCCCAGCGACTTAAGACTGCTTTTGTGCTCCAGGGTCACATTTGTGTTTATTGTGGAGTTTTATATCAAAAGCATCAGGCTTTTATGGCTCATATAGTCTGATGTAGTTAGAATATGGAGGAAAAAACAACTCAATTTTATTCAGAGTCCCAAAGTGGGCAAAAATACACAATTTGGTGCAGATGCTGATATTTATATAGACTAAAAGTATGATGAAATTCTGATGCTTGTGATGTAAATCAATGAGATCTTTATAACAGTACAGCAGATACTGACATAAAATGATCTAAATATCCTTAAAAGATCCTGATGATCAGATTTGAGACTCACTAATTTTCTAAAACATGATTGATGGAGAATCAAGTAAAGCTGAGCTGCTTCAGTCCAGTAAGTGTTCATCTGGAAATATTACTACAGTTATTCCGACGTTTACTTGATAAAAATAAGTAATTTGACAGCAACAAGACATGTGAGGCATGAGCTGAAGGTGGATGTTTGTACAATTATACTGAAAAAATATGATAGAGTAGGCTTTATAGGTTTAAAGAGATCCGAAAATGACCATATTTCTAACACTGTGGAACACAAAAGGAGACATTAAGCAGAATGTCCAAGCTGCTGTTTACAATGAAGTGCAATGGAAATGGATGATTTCTACTGACAAGCTCCAATAATAACAGTATTAAAGCGAGAACTGCTGGCATTTGCAACTGTGTCTTTCTGTCTTTTTCCAGGGTGAAATGGGGCCTGTCGGAGAGGAGGGTGAACTGGGCCAACCGGGCATCAGAGTGAGTGAAGCGACCTCATTCCCGTGAACGTGATCCATCAGTGTATTTTCATTGCTTCAACTGACGTGAGCCAACAGTGTCAATAATCTGACAGAAGGACCCTCAGGCTCACACACACTGGACGTATTTGTCTCTGGTTACTGAATTATTCAAGCAATTCTCTGTTTGTTATTGGATATTATGACTTCGGGAGCAGCGTCCTACCCGAGTGAATCTCATGAAACCTGACATGCATTTTTCCGGCTCATATTTCACCCCAAAATAAATCATAAATTTCTTTCTCATTACTGCATTGTGGAAAAAAATGTAATATGTTATTCAAACTGTAAAATATTTATTTACAATCTTGCTAATATTGCAATCAGATTTGTTGATTTAGTAATACAAATAAACATGTCTGTAATGGTTAATAGGAAAAACAAATAAGCACATTTCTGCCGCAGTTTCAGCTGGTTTTTGGGATGAATCCCATGATGCTTTTTCCTGGTCTTACATGTTACTGTTTGTTTTAGGGTCTTCCAGGGCCACCTGGAGAGGATGGGCATCAAGGGAAGGACGGACCAAAGGTGAGACTCCAGATTAAGTTTCCTACTTGCATTTGCATTTACATTGATGCATTTATCCAAAATGACTTGCACTGCAACATATTATCATGCATTTCCTGGGAATCAAACCCATGACCCAGCATTGCTAGCACCATGCTTTTATCATTTGAGCTACATGAATGCTTTTACAAGTTTAAGTGATTTTCGTTTTTTGAATAAAATTAGGCATTTTAATATTTGTTTTTAAAATTCTTGCTAGCTCTAATACAATAAAATGTAAGATTTTGGTTGAAACTTTACTACTTTAGCATTTTATTTCATTTTAATTTTTAATTTTATTTTTGTATTTAATTTTTTTTATATGATCTATTTTAGAGAATGATGAGAAATGCACAATGTGTTGTTGCACAAACCTGTTGCCTCATAAACCATTTTCTGGCAGTTTTTATCACTATTATGTCAAAATTGATTTATCAAAGTTATATAAATAATGAAATAAAACAAAGTTTATTGGAGTACATTTTACAAGAAAATGCTGCTTTCTATTTCAAAATTTCAATTCAATGTTACTTGTCGTTTCTTTGAAAGGTTTCACTCAGAAGTTGCTAGTAAATTTCATGAATAATTACAAAGTAAATCCTTCAATTGTTTTTCAGTTATTCTACGCCAACAGTACACAAGTTGTGTAAAAACTGTTTGCTGTGAATTTTTTCTTTGGTTGGCCTAGTATACACTTGGGAACATTGTGTTTTATTCACCATATTATGTTGATTCCCAAAACCAGTGTACCAAAACCCACAAATTTTTGGAAAAAATTCTCATTTAAGGTTTGTTTTTATTTTGTTATAACTCTCAGGGTGAGCCAGGCGACCGTGGACCAATGGGAGAAGCCGGAGAAAAGGGCGAGATAGGTGACTCTGGCCCAATAGGACCTCCTGGAGATCCTGGGAAAAAGGGCTTCCCAGTGAGTGATGAAAGAGTGATGGAGTGAATCTAATCTGCATTTGTCATTTCATTGTGTATAGTGGACAAAATGTATTTTGAGATGAAATTTGATGATGATGATGATTTTTGAGTCTGAAATTTATTCTGATAATGTGAAGTTAAAGCAGATGTTTCTTCATCAGGGACCTGAGGGCAAACAGGGTCTGCCGGGTAACCGAGGTCGTCCAGGAAAAAAGGTATAACAACGTGATTAAGTTAACTGCATGTCGCATTTAAATAAAACACAGTTTTGGACTGCAATAAGCATGATTGAGTGTAGATTGTATGTAAAATACAATCAAATAAATAAATAATCAAAATAAATTATGCCAACTAATTTGAATTAAATCAATTGCATTCAAACAATACATGGGACCATTTCATTTTAATTGCACAAAGGTGGAAACAGAAGTCTTTACAGACAGACTATTATGCAGTATTGTGTCAGAAATAAAACGGGCCTAGAATAGAGCCCTGCGGAACTCTTTTTCACTTTGGTTTGTTTGGGATGCATTCTGCTCTGTATTTTCACAATACAGTCACTTTTTTCTTGTCATTCTCACTTGTAAACAACTCAAACCAGTCCTGCTCATTGATATTTCCATCTTACTCTTTGATAGGGTGAAAAAGGGCCGCCAGGTCACTTGGGAGAAATGGGCTCATCTGGCGAAATCGGACAGACGGGGGAGAGAGGACTCAAAGGTGCTCGTGGAACCAGAGGACCCGCAGTTAGTGTGCTTTCTCCTTTCACGCATCCCTTCACTCTTTCTGATGTTGAGAAATAGCTGTGCAAATCCCAAAGATGATTAAGTAACTTAATCACCATCACAAAGGGACTGCAATAGCAGTGCAAAACAATACAGTCTGAATGAGAGGAATAGATGCACTGAATTTATTAACAAGCGGAAATTTGGGAATATTCTGAAGCTTGAACCCACAACCTCAGCATTATGCTGTTGTATATGATTTCACCACTAGGGGAGCCCTAGACAATAGTGTATTATATGAATAATTGTTAGTTAATTAGTTCATGTTAGACATGTTAGTGGGTTATTTTGTTAAAGAAATTAGGTATTAAAAATATGTACTATTATTTCTGTATGAGCTGAAACAGTGAGTTACAAGACCGTAATAATTTTCTAACATGCTGAGAATGACTTCTATTCTCAAACTTGCTGCTTTTACAGGCTGAATTAAGGCGTGTGTAAACATTCGCAGGATTTGGAATTGAACCAAAGCTTTTTGATGGGATTTACACTAATGCCATTAGAGATACTAGGGACTAATCCGCTTTTCTTGTACAATGCAGTTAAGCGCCTGCTGATTTGGTGGTTTTAGGATGGATTTTATAAGCCGAGAAAATGTCTGGGATTGTTTTATTTTGCCCCTGCTTTTCCCTCAGAGTTTAACGACATCGTTGAAATGTAAAAACAAGTGTAGCTGGGGAAACTTAGCATCTTGTTTTCATAAGCAAATGGTTTTCCGAGAAGTCATAATGGGATGAGCAGCAGGAGTCATTTTTTTAAGACTCTATCCAATAATGTGTTTTTCAGCACAGGAAACTCAGATTATTTTTAGCAGGTTATTTGTTGAGGTACGACGAGTATGCCACAAAACACAAGCTAACGTACATGTGTGTGTTTTGTTCATTACCTTTCAGGGTCGACCAGGAGTTATGGGACCTCAGGGAGAGCCAGGACTTCAAGGTTACACAGTGAGTTTCATGCATACAAATATATGCACTTATGAATGCTTACAAAATCACACTCACATTTGCAGAAAGTTTTGGGAGTGAACCTCTTAATTATCGTTTTTGTGTATGTTTGAATAAAGGAGTCTTTCGCTATGTTTTTGTGAACGTAGACCAACCAGACATGATAATCGATTAATTATCTCAAAACGTTCAGTCTATCATCATTCCTAAAAAAAATATTACTTTGGATTAGACAAGGAAATTGTCTATTTTTATCTTTATTTTTATCTTCACTGTTTTTCTTTAACTATAGGGTCACACTGGTAAGCAAGGTCCAGCAGGGCCCCCGGGACCAAAGGGAGAAAAGGTTATTCAGCATATTTTTATATTTTAAATTATAATCTCAGTCTAAATGCCATATTTGAGTTACATTTAATGCTTAAAATTCTATGCAATATATGCAAATATGCTTTTTTTCAAAGCAGTAAATCATATTGTAAATGTTTCTATAATTAGTGTAAAGCCAGAGTTTAAAAAAATTGTGTTAGAAACTGAGTTTGACTGGTTATGTGTGTTTTTCAGGGTTACCCAGGAGAAGACAGTAAAACGGCAGGACCGCCTGGGCCCTTAGGTGAACCAGTAGGTCTTAATTTCCTTTAACTTCCTGTTTTTGTCCAACACCTGGACTGAAATCAGTAAATAAAGAGGCGGTGACATTTACATCACTTTATTGAAGAAATAAGACAACATATCAGTTTTTGTGTGCGTAAAGGGCGCTCCAGGAGAGAAGGGTGAACGTGGGGAACCAGGAGAGGACGGATATCAGGTTAGTGTCTCTGTAAGGAGGAATTTCATGCTTTGTAAAAATCATTCTATTAACTATTAACTATTTGAACACCTCAGAAACTGCATTGTAACACCCTAACAACCACACAGCAACAAGATCAGAAACTGCATAGCAATGCCCTAACAACCACACAGCAACAAGATCAGAAACTGCATAGCATCACCCTAGCAACCACACAGCAACATGATCAGAAACTGCATAGCAATGCCCTAACAACCACACAGCAACATGATCAGAAACTGCATAGCAACGCCCTAACAACCACACAGCAACATGATAAAAAACACTCAGAACACCTCAGAAACTGCATAGCAACACCCTAGCAACAACACAGCAACATGTTAAAAACCACTCTGAACATCTCAGAAACTGCATAGCAACACCCTAGCAACCACACAGCAACGTAATCAGAAACTGCATAGCAACACCCTAGCAACCACACAGCAGCATGATAAAAACACTCAAAACACCTCAGAAACTGCATAGCAACACCCTAGCAACCACACAACAGCATGACCAGAAACTGCATAGCAACACCCTAGCAACCACACAGCAACATGATGAGAAACTGCATAGCAACACCCTAACAACCACACAGCAGCATGATAAATAAACATTCAGAACACCTCTGAAACGGCATAGCAACATGATGAGAAACTGCATAGCGACACTGTAGCATCCACACAGCAACAAAAAATAACTGGAAACACCTTAGCAACAGCATAACAGTGTCTTTTTGGACGCTGGTTGTTTTCTTTTGCTGATTGTTCTTCAGATGATTTCCTTACAGTTGATCGAGATTGAGCTGGTCTGGATCCTGCAGCGCTGCAGGCCTGTTTTCATCACAAACAGTCAACACTCACATTCATATTTGTGTGTGTGTGTGTGTGTGTGTGTGTGT